CGTAAGTGCAAAACATAATTGTTAAACGATAACGCAAAAGAAAATAGAAGATTTCTTTAAAAAAGCATGTTAAACTTGTTCATTTTCTTTAATTTTATTACTTTATTCTGTATTTATTGGAATTTTTTGAACTTGGCAACACTGGCTCACATGTCATAAGTGATTATTCCGGATGTCATTGTCATTTGTAAAATATATTTTGAAATGTAGCACAGTTAGTTTTTAGTACTTTGTAAAATAAAGTAATCAAATAATTCACTGCTATCTCTGTATTACCTCACTGGGAAACAACAATTTCTAATAGGTTTTAATGGGCACCCAGACAGACAAAAAATAAAGAAGCATAAAAGAAAGTGTGAAATATAAAATGCTAATGCAATAGTCAATGTTCCTCAGCTGACAAATGCTACAAATTTTAACAATTGGAAATTCATAGTAACCATACTACTGAAGAAAGACATTATTAGATGTATTGGAGAAAACGAGCAAGACTACAGTTAACCAAAGAGAAGACCAGTTTATAACTAAAAGATTCCAAAGTAAAGCATCATATACAATGTTTAACAGACAAACATCCTTGGATTTAGTTAAAGATGCAAAATACCACAAAAGAAATGGGTTAAAGACCTAGAGAATATATTTGAGAGAAAAAGTGTGTTTACAAATTAACATTGTGAAACGTAAATTGTTAAACATTGAATCTGAAAAGAAATGAAAAATATTGAGAAGATCATTTTCTGTTGTTTGACACCCTTATAAGAGATTTAGAAAAGCTGGTTCAAAACTGGAAGAAGAAGACAAAGTATGCCATTATATTACTATCATTAAATGAAGAGTATGAATCAGTCATCCACAGGCTACGTGGATAACACAATGAATACAACATTAAAATGGACTTTGTAAAATCCAGACAATTAGATGAAGAAAATGAAACTTAAATCAAAACAAGTAAACCAGCTAATATTAATGAAATGTCCTTTCACAACCAATCAACCAATAAATTGTTATAAATTCACAAACCAGGACATAGATTAGCAGAGTGTCGCCAATTCAAAAGCGGGAATAAGGTCACAATCCAAGAGGCAACTTTCAAGGTGCATTCAAGAAGTACATATATACCAAAGTGGTACAAATCATAGTAGATCGAAAATCAAGGTGGTAAGCATCACAGTGAATCCAGCAAATGAATTAGCCTTCATTGCATTAAGTGGTTAACACTTGTAAACATATCTACTCTCAATGTACAGACATTCAACTGGAGTTCTGATGTAACACACCACATGTAAAGGAAAGAAATGAGTTTACTATATGGTAGATGTAAAAACAAATCACACAGAGAAATTGGAACTGCAAAGAATGTGAGGTATTGATAGCAAATAATGAGGTACAGTAAAGCTACAAGTCCATGACGAAGAAATTAACATAGAAGCACTTAATGTTAAAGGTATATCACATAACCTCATTCTTATCTAAATTATTAGAAAAATGGTTTAAAGTAACAATTGTATTTAATGATATTAATGGTAAAAGACAAGCAATAATAAATAAAAAATGGATCAAAATTTCAATGGAAATGTTGACATAAATTATTTTGTTTTAAAGTAGATTTTGTTAATAATAAAAATAATTATTGTAATGAGACAAACCATATAAGTAAGTTTTAAATGAGACTATAGATGATAATTTATGGCATAGGAGATTAGGGGCACATAAATAGGCACAATTTAAAAAATATTAGGACTACCTTATAGTTTCAGAAATTTTGTAAAGATTGTATGGAGGTAAAAGTACTCGTAAACCATTTTATAAATGTTTTAGAATACACAACAAAAATTGGTCGTTGATACACTCAGACCCAAAAAATTCAGTCCAATATCTACACCAACATCTGAAGTTAAAAATACTTTCAAGTATAATAGAAGATTACTCACATTTTTTTAGTAGTAAGATTATTAAAAAAATAAACATGAAGGCATGATCAAAAATATTATATCAGTATTATTAAGATAATTAAAACTCAGCATAATCTAAAAACACAAAGAATTAGAGTTGATAATGGTGGTGAATTTTCATCTAATGCATTTAGAGATTTTTGTAAAAATAAAGTATTAAAGTGGAAAAACAATGCCAAATACTCCTCAAGAAAATGATTTCAGAGAGAATGAACAGAAGCTATTAGACAAAGTAAGAACCAAATTTGCTGAACTAATCACCAAGTGAGATATGGGGGAAGCAATTCTGTGCTCAGCATATGAATTAAATAGAACACCTACTAAAGCAAATAACGGAGAAACACTTCCACAAAATGTACCATAAAAATGAATTATTCAAAAATGAAAGTAATTTTGGAATAAGGCAAGGGCATAGTCTTACGTCAAAACAAAGCAATTTAGAAAGAAGGGCACAACCATTTCATATTGATAGGATATACAGGAGCTGGATTATAGATTGTGAATTATGAACTAATGAATTTTTTGTTCAAGAGAGTGAGATATGATGAAACTTTAACTAATTATGATGAAAACACTAAGACCAATATTATGGATGATACCAAATAAGAAAACAATAGAATTAACAATATGAAAATGAACTGCAAGGGGAATAAATGATAAGAGATAGAAATTCAAGATGAAATGAATTAAATAAGCTAATGAAGATGAAACAAAGAGAATATAAGTTCAGAAATTATGAAGAATGCAATGCCAAAGATAGAAACAACAAAAACAGGAAGAAAAATACAAGCACCCAAATATTTAAGTGAATATGAGACTTATACAGGCTTATTGTTTAATATCAACAGAAGAAAATGATCCTTTATGCTATGAAGATGCCATAAAAGATCCTGAATGGGTAGAAATCTATAAGAAAAGGCTACTTTCACATGAAAAGCTAGTACATGACAGCAGTAAATTACCTAAAAATTTTAAAAAAGCAATCAAACAAAATGGGTTTTTATGAACAAAGGATTATGGAACTAAAAAAGCCAGACTAGTAAGCCAAAGGTTTTCAAATTAAGGAGGAGAAGTGAATTTGAACAAATTACTCCCCTGTAGCCATCGAACATCAACATTAAAACTATTTTTATCAATAGCAATACAAAATGATTGGAAAATCAGACAAATGATAATCAACTGCATTGTTTAAATGGATTACTTGATAATGATGTCTATATTTATGCACCAGAAGGACTTACCATAAAAACTCAGAGTATAAAAATTAATAGAGCTTTATACCGGCTTAAAAGAATCATCAACGGTATGGAATAATACATTTCAATGAATTAGTTAGTCAAATAATTTTGAAAGATCTATGTATGATTGTTGTTTATACATAACAAAAAGGTTTGGATATTAATGATATGTATATGATATATTATTTAATAGGAGAAGATAATGATGCTCATGTATTATAAAATATTAAAAGATAAATTTTCAGGCAAAAGATTTAAAGGAAAGTTAAAAATTTTTTCGGTATGAATATACTAGGACAGAGATACATATTAAAATTGATCAAGAAAGATTTATAGAAAAACTTTTGGATCATTTTAATATGAGGATGTAAACCAAAGAAGACTCCAATGGAAAAGGGATTCAATACATTGAGGACAGTGAAAATTCTAACTAATAATCCTTACAGGCAATTAATTAGGAGGACTGATGTATTTATCAACAACAAGTAGGCCAACAATTAGTTATAGCAGTGTCCATACTTATTAGATTTTAGATTGTCCCTACTACAGAGACCATGGAATGCTGAAAAAAGAAATTTAAGATATCTACACGGAATGAAGAAGAAACTGGGATTAAGACTTATTATAAAAATACAGATTGCCAGATAACACAATGGATATTCAGATGCCGATTGGGGAAACAGAAAGAAAGATAGGAAAAGTGTGAGTGGATGTATAAGATTATATGGTAATAACCCAATATCATGTTTTTCAAAGCAACAAAACTGTGATGGCATTATCAACAGCTGAAGCTGAATACATTGCAGCAGCACAAACCGCTCAAGACTTAATCAATGTCAAGGGATATACCTGAGTGAAATTTTAATGTAATGTCAACACATTTTTATACTGTACAATAAAAGAACAATTTAAAATGTCTAACATTAATGAAAATTCGAAAAGAGCAAAACATATAGATATAAAAAAACCTTTTTAAAAGACTTAATTTCTATAGAAAGAAGTTGTAATGGATTATAAGATCAACTGAGCAGAATTTATCTTATATTTTAACTAAATCTTTAGGTACCGAGACTTTCATAAATCTAAGAAATAAAATTTATGATATATGAATTGTAATATCATTTATGTTAATTATAATAGTTACGAATTTCATGTTCAACAATTCAAATCGGGAGGATATTGGAATTTTGTACTTGGCAATCACTGCTCACCAATGTCTTAAGTGATTCACGGTTGTCATATGTCCAGTTGTAAAATATATTTTGTAGAATTAGCACATGTTTGTTTTTAGTACATTTGTAAAATAAAGTAATCAAATAATTCACTGCTATCTCTCTTATTACCTCACGGGAACAACAAATTCTAATAGTATTTACTTAGAAAACATTACGAAATCACCTCATAGTATTTATTAATATCAATACTTTAACCAAGAATACTATAAAAACAAGATTATTTTTAACCGAAATTCTTGTTATACGAAACGGCCTCCCCACCAATTATTTCGGTTAACGGAGGTTTTACTGTATAGAGGATCAATCAAATCGTATAAAATTGGTGTTATTTTACCAGAAGATTAGAAGTAAACATAAACCACAAACAATGTTGTAAATCAAACAAATCTGGTACAAAAGAAAGGACAGAATGTGAGGAAATAAGATAAAGACGAATATGATTTGATTAAAAAAAAGGTGGATGAAACTGTAATAAAGAAGATTGAATCTGACAATTAAAGATATAACAATTAAAACGATAGAATCTCATACTATTTGCTGCGCAAGCTCTCATTCCAACAAATTTCTTCTAAAAGTTATTTATATAAATGATGAATAGACTCTCCAGGTCGAAACGTTTTGATCCCCCTATCAAAGGCTTTATAGTGGTAGCAGCTCAGGTCGTTACCTCTTCTCACATTCAGAAACCCAGTGACATCTTGAGACTTTCCGGTCTTCAGCGAAGAAACTTTGACGTTGACATCTGCGACATACTCTAAATTTTTTGAAATAACATTGTCTGTATGTGTAGAAACGTGATTGTTAAGTATGAAACAAACATCATCGCGATCTGTAAGGCTTATGCAGTAGTGTACGAATAGTAATGTGTGCTTAATGTCTATATCTAAGTCGTGTAAATGACTCAAATCATCTATTAACAGATACACTATTTTACCGTCTGTTTTTAATGCATTCACGCAATCTTTTATGTTGAAGTACAAGTCTTTAACTACGTTTTCCTTATTTTCTTGTAAATAACTATCCTCACAGCCGATGTTCTCAACTATATCTTTAATAGGTTCTATAATCTTGACTAAACCATCATCTACAGCTTTCAGCAGATCATAGCCCAACTTTTTGCCGATACTCTGGTAATGTTCGATGGGATTATGAAAGTTCACCAAACACAAACGGTTCTTCTCGTGAATGATTTGTTTAATAATGTGCGTGATGATGAAGTTGGAGTCGGCGTTCGCTTTTTCTTTGATAGAGATGATTTTGTCCCGGCTGTTGATTTGAAGTGCTGAAAGAACTGCGTTCGAAGCGATTGGATCTCCCAAGGAAATCATCGTCACTAAAATATAATAAAATATTATAAATAGTTGCTAGTAGTCTATTAAATAATGATATTGATATGATGATAATAAAGTGAAATGACTGATGAGCGTGATCAGTTGGAGTTTTTCGTATCGTTTAGCTATTATTGTTAATTATTATTTGTTAATTAAATATAAATGGAATAACGTAGTACTTGCAGGGAGAGTAAAAGTTTTCGCAAACAGTTAACACTTAAAGCTAAAAACATAGTGTCTAATAAGTCGTTGTGAATGTATGACAGGAGTATCGTTATAAACTGTTTACAGGATTGTCCGTCGAAAACAACGCTCGGGTTGTTTAATCTAGGAGGTAGAAAACTAATTGAATTTAATTTAACGAACATAACAATTCAGAAATAAGACGTGCAGTTCATTCTTTTTATTTTAAGGTAATATCTAATTAAAATTTCCAAAGAAAGCAGTAATTTTTTCATAACTGTACTCATGCCCATTGGCGTAGCTAGGGGGGGACCAGGGGGGCCAGGCCCCCCCTGATGGCCTTGCGGCCCCCTTGAAATATTCTAATAGAAAAAATTGCAAATACAATGTAAACAAGAAACAATAAAAAATTAACGAACCAACCGCCTATACTATAGCTATCGGAATACAATACTGTGCGTTTCGTGTTTCACCAACACGGGTTTAAGGTACAAAGATCAGTCAGTTTCAGTTAGATACTTTGACGTGGCTTGACAGTGTACAGCGTGGTGTACAGCAAACAATAAAACGGCGAGCGATAATAGAATAGAGTAGTAACACAATAGAGAAGTATTAGTGAACTGTATTTAAGAATTGTTGGCCTATTACTACAGAAGTAACAAGTAAGTGTAGTAGCTAGTAAGTTTACTTTATTCTTTTTACCGCTTATTTTTAACAATTTATTCAGTATCTATAGCTTTTTTCGTCAAGGTTATGTGTCAGTTTGCCTTTTTCATTAATGATTGTAAAAGGTGTTGCCAACCCATCAACTCTATCAAAAATTAGACTGTATCTACTCAGACTCTTGGACTGTATTTCATTTCGATGATTTTAAAATTTTTGACTCCACCATATTATGTACATACAATAGTATGGAGGAGTATGTGATCGTTTTAAAATGGGAAAAAAATGTTCCATTACAAATTTTTTTATAGATCTTTGCGTTTCAGACGATTATGAACGTTTTTTGTTCCCCTGTCTGTCTGTCTGTCGGTGTTTCCAAATGCGAATAACTCAAAAACTATCAACTCAAATTGAACGAAATTTTGTAAGCAATTATCTTTAGTCTTTCAATTTCGTTTTGTTGCAGGTAATGGACATAAGAAAATTTTTCAAAAGACAAACGTCTTCACTATCTTTACCGTCTATACAACCAACTACACTGGAAGAGGATGAGAATAGTCAGCCTGAACAGCAGCCCGGTACAAGCAAGGATCTGGATCAGAATATTCAACCAAAATCAACCACGCACCATGTGAAAATAGACGCTTCTGACTTGGGCCAACTAGGTGAAAACGTATCACAACCTATTCTTAAAAGATTTCCACAAACTATGTTTGGAAATAAAAAAAGGTCGTTCAGCGCAAACTATTATAAAGATTTTGATTGGTTGGAATACAGCGTCAAAACAGATTCCATTTCGTGCTATGCTTGTCGTCATTTTGGAGCTGCTATGGATGAAGAAGCTTTTAGAATAGTGGGATTCCGCAACTGGAAAAAAACTGGCGAAAAATTAAAAAAACATGGTGCATCTTTGCATCACATTGAAAGTTTCAGTAAATGGCATAATTATAAAAAGACAATAAAAAGCGGAAATGTTTTATCTCATCTTTCACAAGCATATAGCACCCAGATAGAGAAAAATAGGAATTACTTGAGAATGTTGGCAGATATAACCTTAACAATGGCTCGTCAAGGCATGGCTTTCAGAGGTCATGACGAAAGCGAAAGTTCATTAAATAAAGGAAATTTTAAGGAAATATGTGGCCTAATAGCAAAGTATAACAAGGACTTTGACGTACTACATAATTCCTATAAAAACTATACCAGTCCCCAAATACAAAATGAAATTATTGCCCTCTTGTCACGGGCGTCTTTAAGAAATATAGGTACTTGATGACATTAGACAATCCGGAACTTTTTCAATCATGTGTGATGAAGCTCGTTCTTTCAAAAAGGAACAATTGTCTTTATGTGTTCGCTATGCATCGAAAGATTTAGAAATTCGTGAAAGATTTCTTGCATTTCTTGATTGTTCAGAAGATAGATCGGCTACGGATTTATTCATTTTAATCTACAAAAAATTGGAAGAGCTTAATCTTAGCGACTTGCAGATGGTAGGGCAATCCTATGACGGAGCTGCGGTGATGTCAGGCAATACAAGTGGTCTTCAAACACAAATGCGAGAGAAATTTCCAGCTGCAATTTACACGCACTGCTTAGCTCATAGACTTAACTTGGCTCTGGTAGACTCCTGTAAAAATGTTCCCTCAATATCGACATTTTTTTGTACTTTGGAAGCACTTTACGAACATTTTTCAGATCCTCAAAACCATAAAAAACATACAAACAAATATTGAAGGACATGAATATTGTTCCCAGGGAGTTGAAAACTCTGTCAGATACTCGTTGGGTGTGTCGATATACGACTTGCCACGCTGTTAAAACATGTTTCGATGGAATCGTCACAACACTGGAAAACGAAGTTGCTCATACAAATAATAAACAGTCAATTACAGCAGTTGGGATATTATCCAGCATTAAACAACCATCATTTATAATTCATCTTTTTGTATTGGATGAGGTGTTAAACATTTTAAATATATTATCAAAGAACCTCCAGGAGAAAGGTGCAACTCTGGGGAAAGCAGTTAAAGTTATTAAAAGTGTTATGACTTCGTTAGATGGAATGAGAAATGAACAATATTATACCCATCTTCATACAAACATATCGAACTTTGCCACAGAATACCAAATTTCATTGGAAATTTCGTCAGCCAAAAGAAAAAAGCAAGCCAGTAGCAAGCTCGTTGACTTCGTCACTGAAACAACCGTAGGATTGGGTTTGATAGACGCCACATGCTCCAGAGCTAACGTAGGAGTCATTGAGTATTGGAGGGCAAACATTTTTTACCGGATTATTGATACTGTAAGAGAATTTCTGAACAAAAGGTTCTCACCAGAAAGTATGGCGCTTGCCAATTCAGTAGATCATTTTTTTCAGTTAGATTTTGAGGGTTCAGAGAAATTCATTGAACAATATCGCAAAATTTTAAATATCAACACTTTTGCCTTAAGTGCAGAAATGACCGTTTTAAAAAATTGTATTTTACAATCTAACGAAACTGTTTGTTATGAATATATAAAAAAAACTTAATTGATTCAGAAAAAACATATCCCAACCTCTACCAACTTTTTAAAGTATCGATTATTTTGCCTATTTCAAGCGCAACGTGCGAGAGGTCTTTTTCTGCCATGAGGCGGATTTTTAACTGGTTAAGAACGACAATGACTCAAGATAGACATTCAGATTTGGCTTTGTTGTATATAGAAAAAGATGTAGACATAGACTTAGAGAGTGTTGTAAATTCTTTTAGTGAACAGAGTAGGAAGTTTCTCTTGTAAGTAATATTTTGTTAATATTTTGTTTTTATAAATATTTATCGCAGTGTATGTATTATATTATGTATTAGGTATATTAAAAAAATAAAACCAGTATACTATTATAACGCATTTCTTCTATTTATTTTTTCATTGCACGGCAAATAAAAAAAATTAAATTTTTAATCAACCATACACTGGGGCCCAGGCCCCCCTTGAAAACTGAGGCTAGCTACGCCGATGCTAATGCCCCAGAAACTTATATGCATGACCTTGGAACATTCCCCCATCACTTTGACCCCAAGTCATGTGTTGAACATCCCTTTGTTGGACCACAAATTCGCCAATTGATTTAAGATTCCGCGTTTTACGAAGTTTTGGAGAGTAAAGATAAGGAATTCTGGGAAGCTTTTAAGGGAGTAATTAAAGGATTTTTGGGCAACAAACGAGAAGAAAACTACACTGAATTGGTAGCAGTACTTCTAGAAAAATACCACAAACTCGGCTGCAACATTTCTCTCAAGATACATTTTTTTCACTGCCACATAGACTTTTTCCCTCCTAGCTGTGGAGCTGTTAGTGACGAAGATGGTGCAAGGTTCCACCAGGACATTTCTGTAATGGAACGAAGCTATCAAGGTCGGTGGAATAAAGCTATGCTAGCGGATTACTGTTGGTTTGTGTGAAGGGATGCACCGGGAATCAAAAGTACCATTTTCGGGACTATTTTTTTTACTTTCGGGACGATTTTGGGTAGCTAGGTAACAGCTTTGACGATAACATCAACTTTGTATTTTATTATGACAACGCTTATCATTTAAGATTCGTGTGTTTTGCTCAGTTATCAGAAGCTGGAGATAAGATCTACTTAATGACAAAGGTTATGTAATTAAATGTAATTTCTCTTTTTTATTATTATTTTTTTGTAAACTTTAGGTAGATGATAAAGAAGATAAGATAACCATGTTATTAAGTAATTAAAATTCCTAATTCTAAAACGAACATGGAAAGAACCTTTGTGGTTATTGGAGAAAATAACATTTCTTTATATAGAAAATATTTGTCATTACGTCAAGCAAACACACCGCATCGTAGATTAGTTGTATATTACAAAAATCGGAAGGTGTACTATCACAGCCACCTTTACTTCCAAGCCATGAAGTAGAAATTTGGCAACAACGCGTGGTAGTCCGACCGTGGTTTGTTTTGTTTAACATTTCATATAGGAAGGCTTGTAAAGTTTGTTGAATTTAGTGTTTTTTAACCTTATTCGAATCGTATACTTAAGATTTTTAACGACAATTTAAAAGGCAAGTATAAATATAACCTACAAAACAAACTGAAAATAATAATACTTTTACTTCTTGTTACAAAATATGTGAACTAAAAACAACAATAATAATACTTTTGTTTTTTGTTACAGATGCCCTGGCATTGTTGTGTACCTGGTAGCAAAACCAATTATGCCAGTACTTTAAAACCGAAACAGGCAGAAAGTACGTTTTCGTTTCCCAAAGATCCCCAACGAAGGTATACTGGGTTATGCTCTATTCATAGAGAAGGCTATACAATTACCAAATCTTCCGTAGTATGTGCCAAACATTTTCATGAAGATGATATTCAGCGGACT